AGGACTAAAATTATGACCAAGTCATAGGTTTTCCCATCATAAAGAACACCTTCAAGCTTATCATCTGAATGTGCACCCGGGCCTTGGAAGAGACAAAATTCATGGAGTAGCTGAAGAATCCCCCATCAACAATTGATCCAAGCAGTTAATAGAAGTTAGTCTTAGAGGATGAAGACTGAATTGAGTGGGGGAGACTACCACAAGTGGACTCTTTGCTGCTCCACCAAGTGCCATCTATCGTGAGCATGACATGCCATCAGAGTGTCATCGTGTATGGTGTTTTGGGTGGGACTATACAAATATTTTTGTATGGGGGGATGCCAATGGCATTGTTGTAATTATTAGTATGATCTTTCACCATTGTTGATGTTTCCTTATGTCACTCCTCCAAAACTTAAGCTACTGTTTGAGGGGAGGTAAGAAGTTGAGTAGTGCCAAGATTGTGTAAATGTTAAGCACAAGGTCCCCTTGACACAAACGTGTGTATTTGTACTTGCTATTTTTAATGCAGTACAAAGTGCCTTGTAACAAAATTGTATGTTTTTTTTTTGTTGCCTTTTGTGTGTTATTATTTGCTTTTGTAGGCTTACTTGACCCAATCGTGCATCACAGGGGCCCCATCGACTAGTCCTGTGATGGTAGGGTACGAATAAAATACAAGATCAAGGCCTTTGATTTATATTTGTAGCTCCACCCAGATGTCAGTTAATTTAATTTAAGGTGGGGCCATGTCAATAAATTAAAGACTTTGATTTAATTGTTGCACATGGCTATGATACTATTGTAGCAAATGTGGGTTGCCTATTTTTCTACATGGAAAAAATTCTATTCAATTGTTCATGATAAATCATATGTAGAGGTCTCGGACATCAAAATCCATTCAGCGCAGATTTTGCTTTTGCTATTTATAAGGAGGCCTTCATTTCAATCATCACTTGTATTTGTGGGTTGCCCACTTTTCCACGTAGCAATTTTTTTTTTTTTGTTTGGGCAAATTTCTTAAAGTATTTCTACTATTTAGCTAACTATTGTTTTAAAGCATTACTATTGTTTATGACAAATGATTATTTTTACCTCTATCGTTAGCATCCATTAATGTTTTGTCAAAAGTCGTATACATGTGATACCATGTGATGTATAATTTTTTTAAAACCCATTACCCTTCATCCCTATGAACGCAGGAGACAAAAAGCTCTGTCTTTGGTAGTCTTGTCCCTAAGTGCACATTTGAGGGAAATTCTACTAAGCCAATCTCCCCCTTGCACCATTGACTGAAGACCTCTTCCTAGTTGCCAATAGAAAATTTTCTTCAACCAATAGACTGCTCTAATTACAACTATGATCCATAACATTGCTAGGATAGAACATACCATTTTAAGCTTTTGTTTTTTTTTTTTTGACATAGCAGTTCCCATCCGACCATGTGAAAATCCCATTTCCCTTTGGAATGTCGTTATCACACTAGCCATCATACCAATTCCCATAAGCCCAAATTAAAACCCATCTGCCGAACAGGAGGGTTCAAGATCACGAGGATGAACGCGTCGACAATGCTAAGAAAGTAAGTAGTAAACTTGGGACCAATCAAACGGATCCTTCGTATAGAAGTCGGCGATGGGCTATTGGGTGCCTCTAGTCGATGCGGTTCTCTTGGTTCTTACATGTGGAAGAAGTCGGCGATGGGCTATTGGGCACCGTGGGTTCAGACCTAGCTGAGCTTATTGTCTTCGCCGACCAACTTAACGTGAATGGGGGAGTTTCTACCTATTGTTACAACGACAACAGTGAGGGGACAGAGTTGGATTGTGTTGTGTGCTTGTGTAGACTAAAGGACGGTGACCAGGTGCATAGGTTAATTAGAGTGTCGTGGGCAGCTAGGTGTGCAGGTTAGAGTGCTGCCATGTGTTCCCAACTCGTCCACCACCGCAAGAGACCTTGTCTTCTGTGATCTCGTCCTCGAGGGTCGTATCAACAGTGATGGCCTTCTCCATCTGGTCACAGACTTGGATGGAGGGTCCAAATTTTAGTTCAATGTAAGGATGAGAGGGAGTAGAGTCATCGGTTTGGTTGCAGACTTGGAGGATGAAGGGTCAAGCTTCAATTTAGCTCATAGGATGAGTAGGAGTAGAGCTGCAGAGTAGAGTCATCAGTTTGGTCGCAAACTTGGAGGACGAAGGGTCTAAGCTTCAGTTCGACGTAGGCCACAAGCTAGTTTCTTGGGTTTGGCGGTTTGCTAGATGTTGTTTCTTTGAGGTTTTTTTGATTGTTTCAACTTCCGAGGCTAATAAGCTACTGAATCAAATAGCAAGTTGGTATTCTCCCATGCATCAATCTCAATTGCGTTTTTTGCTGTTGGGTAATACGCTTCTGTATATTACAAAAAAACTGGTATATGACGGCGGATTTCAAAGCGACCGAAATTTAAGTGCCATTATAAGCTTGGCTTTTGCGGCGGTTATACAAATTTGTCGCTATATGTATCATGTCCATGTTATAAATGCTGCTATATGTGTTGCTGATATAATATAAAAATAAATAATATTTAATAAAGTAAATTAAAATATTATTAACGGCAGGGAATTGTTTAAGTGAGATTGAATAGACGTTGATTCGTTTGGAGAGGAGGGACTATTGGAGATCTAGCATCTCCACCTGCTTCTTTCGTTCACCACTTTGAGTCGAGAGAAAGGGTAGAATGAGCTACAGGTTTTTTGAATTAGGTTAAATGAGAAAGAGATCAAGGGAAAAATAAACATTTTATCTTTTTTAATAGGATTTAACACTAATAACAATTGTTAGAAATGATATAGGTGGTTTAAAGCAGTAGATAAATAGTAAGATGCAATAAACAATAGGGATAAGGATAGCTTAAGAAAATTGTCCTTTTTTATTTTTTTTAAAGGGTTAATTCATCCTAGGTGCAGGCGGGATTCATCCCTAATCTTTCTAGCCAAAGACCTTACCAACCAACTAATTGCAACCTTACACGTGGCAAAAATTCTATTCAGTGGCTCATTAGAAATCATAAGCAGAGGCCTCTCGGTCTCTCGGACATCAAAACTCAATCGGCGCAGCCTTTGCCTTCCTTTTATATTGTAAGCATTCATTTCAACCATCACTCGTTGTGGGTTGTTTATTTTTCGGACAAAAATTCTACGGAAAAGTATGAACAGGCATCAATGCAGGATTTCTGAATTTCATTGCAGACTTATAAACATTCAAAATGTCCAAAAACCCGTTTTCTATACATCAATGCCCCGCCCGTAAATTTACATCAATTCCGAACTGACACCTAACCCAACTGGGCCTAAAAAATTCTGATCCTCGCTGAACCGTCGTTCTCCCAAAATTCTAATCAGTTGTTCACGAGAAATTATAGGTAGACGCCCCGGACATCAAAACCCATTCAGCGCAGCTTTGCTTTCGCTATTTATAAGGAGGCATCTATTTCAATCATCATTCTTATTTGCTTCCTCGTCGATCAAACAGCTGGAAGAAAGAGTGAGGGTTTCTGTCTTAAGTTCTTGTGAGCATATTGATCTTCATCTCTCTTGCGATTTTTCTTCACTCGATTCTTGGCTTTGTCCTTGATTTCGATGATTATTCTGTTCGATAAATAGGGTTTGATGATTATGTCTAATTTTAGGGTTCTATTTGTTTTAGCACATTAGTTGGTTTAACTCTGTCTCTCTCTCGTTAAGCTGGAAATTCTTTAGATAACTATATTCTTGAAACCTCGAGTCTTTTCCTTGAATGCCTTTTAATCACTAGTCGTCCTGGTTTTCTCCAATTGAATATATAGTGCTGATTCCACTCCATATTAATCCAGTTCATTTGGTTTTTTATTGGTTGGCATTGATCTGAAACAAGTTTTACCCAATGATAATATAAGATGCATAACTAGAGTGGTGATGTTTGAATGAGAATATGAGATATTTGTATACATGTTCAATATTTAATATAAAAAAAGTAAGTAAAACTATAACGGAAAGGAAAAGTTAAAATGCAAGTTATTCATGAGAAATCATGCGTAGAGGCCTCGGACATCAAAGCCCATTCATCGGAGCTTTTGCTTTCGCTATTTATAAGGAGGCATTCATTTCAATCATCACTCTTACTTGCTTCCTCGTCAATCAAACAGCTGGAAGAAAGAGTGAGGGTTTCTGTCTGAAGTTCTTGTAAGCACATTGATCTTCATCTCTCTTGCGATTTTTCTTCACTCGATTCTTGGCTTTGTTCTTGATTTCGAGGATTATTCTGTTCGACAAATAGGGTTTGATAATTATGTCTAATTTTAGGGTTCTATTGTTTAGCACATTAGTTGGTTTAACTTAATCTCTCTCTCTCTCTCTCTCTCTCTCTCTCGTTAAGCTGGAAATTCCTTTAGATAACTGTATTTTTGTAACCTTGAGTCTTTTCCTTGAATGCCTTCTAATCACTAGTCGTCCTGGTTTTCTCAGATTAAATATGTAGTGCTGATTCTGCTCCATATTAATCCAGTTTGTTTGGCTTTTTACTGGTTGACATTGAACTGAAACAAGTTTTACCCAATGATAATCAGTGTTTTAAAAGGCATGGGAGGCGCTCCCAAAACGCCCTGAGGCATATGCTATAGGCGCTGACACCTCTGAGGCGTATGCCTCATGCGCTTTTTTCATGATGCATGCTAGAGGCGTACACCTCATGCGCTTCATGCACATCTTATATAAAAAGATAGAAAAAAAAAAGAAAAAAGAAAAAAAGGAAAGGAAAAGAAAGGGAAGGGAATGAAAAAGAAAGAGAAGAAAAAAAAGAGAAAAGGAAAGAAAAGAAAAGGAAAGGGAATTCGCTTGCCCACCTCCGCTTCGACAAGACCCCCCCTTTCAACTAATGTTATGCATCTTTATTCTTCTTAATATAAAAGATTTTTATTAAAAATAAAAACCAAATGAGATCCCCCCTTCCTCTTCATCCTCCTCCCCTTCCTCCTTCTTCCTCCTAACCCCCCTCTTAAGGAGGCTTACGCCTCACACCTCTAGGTAGTGGAACGTCTCGCATCACGTCTCCGCGTTTTAAAACATTTATGATAATATAAGATGCATAACTAGAGTAGTGATGTTTGAATGAGAATATGGGATATTTCTATACATGTTCAATATTTAATATAAAAAAAGTAAGTAAAACTATAATGAAAAGGAAAAGTTAAAATGCAAGTTATTCATGAGAAATCATGCGTAGAGGCCTCGGACATCAAAACCCATTCATCGGAGCTCTTGCTTTTGCTATTTATAAGGACAAAATCATTTCATTCATCACTCTTACTTGCTTCCTTGTCAATCAAACAGCTGGAAGAAAGAGTGAGTGTTTCTGTCTGAAGTTCTTGTAAGCACATTGATCTTCATCTCTCTTGCGATTTTTTCTTCACTCGATTCTTGGCTCGTGATTTCGAGGATTATTCTTTTCGACAAATACGTTTTGATGATTATGTCTAATTTTAGGGTTCTATTGTTTAGCACATTAGTTGGTTTAACTTAATCTCTCTCTTTCTCTCTCTCTCTCTCGTTAAGCTGGAAATTCCTTTAGATAACTGTATTCTTGAAACCTTGAGTCTTTTCCTTGAATGCCTTCTAATCACTAGTCGTCCTGGTTTTCTCCAATTGAATATGTAGTGCTGATTCCTCTCCATATTAATCCAGTTCATTTGGCTTTTTATTGGTTGACATTGAACTGAAACAAGTTTTACCCAATGATAATATAAGATGCATAAGGTGATGTTTGAATGAGAATATGAGATATTTGTATACATGTTCAATATTTAATATAAAAAAAGTAAGCAAAACTATAACGGAAAGGAAAAGTTAAAATGCAAGTTATTCATAAGAAATCATGCATAGAGGCCTCGGACATCAAAACCCATTCATTGGGGCTTTTGTTTTCGCTATTTATAAGGATGCATTCATTTTATTCATCTCTTACTTGTTTCCTCATCAATCAAACAGCTAGAAGAAAGAGTGAGGGTTTCTGTCTGAAGTTCTTGTATTATCTTCAACTCTCTTGCGATTTTTCTTCACTTGATTCTTGGCTTTGTTCTTGATTTCGAGGATTATTTTGTTCAACAACTAGGTTTTGATGATTATGTCTAATTTTAGGGTTCTATTGTTTAGCACATTGGTTGGTTTAACTTAATTTCTCTGTTTCTTTTTTTATTTATTTTTGCTGTTTGGATATCTGAGTGTTTCTTTAGTTTAGTAGATTGGAGTCTTTATTATGTTAAGCTGGAAATTCCTTTAGATAACTGTATTCTTGAAATCTTGATGTTGATATATAAAAAAAAAAGAGAAGACAAACCAATTAGAAGTTATTGGGCCCACTAAAAAGAGTTGGCCTGTTAACCCAAAGAAGTGTTACACTACATGGGCTCAAACCTCAAATTTTCAGTGCAATGCTTCAAAAAAAAATCTTAAATTTAAATCTGTCATTCGATGGACAGATTTGCCAAATCTTAGATTGGTATATAGAGAGTCCTGTTTAAAAAGGAAATCAGCACATAAGAGGGCTTGATTGATCAACCAAGTTTGGAAGTCATGTTCGGTCAAATAAATTAAGAGCTGCATGGGCCCAACCCCTTTTGCCAAGTGGCACTTGGCTTTAAATAAGAGGGGGACAAATCCAACCCATTTCCTAATTTTCTTTTAAATGAGATCATAAATTGATCACCAAACCACCAATCTAGTGGGCCCATATTAATTATACAAGCTGGCTGAATTCAAAGTTTTTGGCCGAACTTGTCTAAGAGAAGACATTATAAATAGATGGAGGAAACTCTTGCCCTCCTTTAGCTCTCCTTTGACCCTTTCTCCGGTTCTCATACTTTGGCTCCTCAATTCCTTTGCCTACTCTTATTTCTTTCAAAAAAAAAAAAAGCGGGAAGAAGGGACGGCTGCACCAAGATCAAGGGAAGAAGAATCGGAATTTCGGCTCCTCAATCATTGAATCTCCGAAACCGTTACAGCTCCGTGCAATGATGGTTGAAGGATTCCGGCCTTTGAGTTGTTGCAATCAAAAGCTTCATCAAATTACTGCAACGAAAAAAAAAAGAAAGAAAGTTCTCCTATCTTGTGTGCATACAATTGATCGTTGCAAGTTCTTTTTACAACTACAAGTTATCAAGCTTTTCGGATCATGTCTGTGACAAGCTACAAGTACAAGTTCGGGTTGTTCTCGTGACAAGAGAATTAGAGGGTTTTCTTTGCAAAAAAAAAAAGAAAAAAAGAGTTTGTATCCCACTTACGTTTCTGCAAAAAAAAAAAATTTCTTTGAATTTGTTCGCATTTTTTTTTGTGCTCCAAATTTACGCACGAAATTTTTGTCGACACTTGAGTCTTTTCCTTTAATGCCTTATAATCACTAGTCGTCCTGGTTTTCTCCAATTGAATATATAGTGCTGATTCTGCTCCATATTAATCTAGTTCATTTGGCTTTTTATTGGCTGGCATTGTACTGAAACAAGTTTTACCCAATGATAAAAAATAAATAAAAGAAACAATTTTCTCACTTTAAGAACATAAGATGCATAACTAGAGTGGCGATGTTTGAATGAGAATATGAGATATTTCTATACATGTTCAATATTTAATGTCAAAAAAGTAAGTAAAACTATAACGAAAAGGAAAAGTTAAAATGCAATTTCTAGATCCCATTATTTTGTATTTTCTTGTAATCCTGTCTGTCATGTTTCAGTCATTCCATTCCATTCCAAGATAGTGTTTAGGGGTTTTGGATCTCATACTAATTGAATAAATTCTGTTAAAATTTCTGAGTTCATCATTTTGAAGGGCCTGCTAACTATGGCTTTATAGTGGGTAATTGGGTTTGCAAACCGTTTTGCTGTTCACATTCTTGAGTGTATGTCTTTGGTCATTTGACCACCTATTGTTTTCTCATGATGATTCTCAGAACATAAGGGAACTGAATAATACCAAATACCAGATTACATTTCCTTTCATTGTGGGGCTAAACTACAGTTTCAATATAATCTGAAAATAATTTTTGTTTAATATATTTATGTATGTGTGCTTTCTTTAACCCCGAGTTCTTGATTTTCTTTAAGTGCCTGTGGATTGTTGAGGTTCTCTAACTTTCTTTATTGACTTTAGGGGGATGATTCTGCTCAATATCTATTCTAATTCTGTTTCTAATTACAAAGTACATGGAGCATTAGTTAAATCATGAGTTTATGACCACTTATCTGCTGATGACCTGGATGTTGAGATGGTCACTTGGCACCATGATCAAACCCACGGTTCTGCAGGCTTTCCATAGTATGGCCAGTGGGTCTCATGCACCCTGCTCTGCTCCACCTCCAATTCCCCTGTAATGTGTAGTATGTAATACCAAAAAAAAAGGATCACCACCACCACTTATCCCATAACAGAAAGGAAATGATCAATTCAAATTGGAAATCTATCCTCCTATGAATTGTAGTTACAGTCTTACAGAACAATATTGCAAAGTTGAAGTAGCTGTTTCTTACTACTGATTTTGTTTTTTCTCAGTTGTTTTCTTTTCTTTAATTATGTGTGCTGCATTTCACCAAGAGCATGTGGAAATGTTCCTAAAATTAACAGTACTTGATTTAGCACTTTGAATCCAGTTAAAATGCTCCTTTATGAGGTTTTGTAATGGTAAAGCAATCTGGGATTTTTTTTCCAGTTGCAACACAATGCATGTATGCTACATGGGCCAAAGGAACTTTTGTAACATAATTCTTTTTGTTTGGTAACCAGATTAAAGAGATTTATTAATCCACAAAGATAAGAGATAGTAGATATAATGTTAGATAAATTAGAAATGGAATTACCATGGTTACTTTTTAAAACTTTATTTGTGTTATATTTGTGCAAGTGAACCAAAACTGAATCAAGGTCTTTCCATACTCTAGGAGATGGAGATAGGGTTGTCAAGTGATGACATACCCATTGAAGTCTTGTCTCGGTTGCCAGCAAAGACATTGCTCGGACTAAAGTGTGTATCTAGAGGGTGGCACCACCTTATTTCTGATCCTGCTTTCATCAGGGTTCAGATACAAAGGTCAAAAGAAGCCATTTCTGGGTTCTTCTTCCAGGAGAAGTTCCATTGGTGTGATGCAGACATTGAAACTCTAAGTTACATTCCTATTGGAAGGGAACAAGCCGTCGTGAAGCACACAGTATTGGATTTTCTACCTGAGAAGGTTGTCATCATGGACTCAAGTAATGGGCTTATTTGCTGTAGGAGTTGTATGCCTGCTCCGGATCCAGTCATCTATGTCTGCAACCCTTCAAACAAGGAGTGGGTCACATTAAAGTGGGCCAAACCAGAGAAAAGCAAAAGCCTTGCCTTACTTTTTGACCCATTTTGCAATCCTATAGATACCCCCATGAATTTCAAGGTGATTAGTGTTCATCAAATAGAGACTGATACTGATTTGTACTTCTCATTTAAAATCTACTGTTCAGAAAAAGGAGCATGGAGGGAATCCAAGGAGAACTGTTTTTGTCATTATGATTTGTTTAAGAGAAAAGGGGTTTTCGCTGGTGGGGTTTTACATTGGCTAACCAATGGGGACCAAATCCTTACATTCAATGTAGAAAATGAGCAGTGCCAATTGATTAATCTACCAACTTCCACCATCGAGTGTAATGACCTACCTGAGATGTGCATTGGTGAAGCCGAAGGACATCTACATTATATTATGATCTCCACATCTGGACTTCAAGTTTGGATCCTTGAAGACTATAGTGGACCCAAATGGGTACTGAAAGACTCTATATCATTAGCCATGATGGAGGAAGAAAACCCACAATTCCTCTATAATTTGTTGCAGAGAACGGCAGGACGGGTTACATTTGATATGATACCATGGATAGAACCTTTGGCTTTCAAAGATGGACTCTTGCTTATGAGGGTGTCCTCTAGAATGTATTTGTACCACCTTGAGTCAAGGAGGATGAAGGAACTCTGCTCCCTTACAAAACTGGGACCTAACTCTCTTGTGTATCCAACAGTACTTCCCTATAGCATGAGCTTGATTCGACTGGCATACCCATGAGCAGTATGAGGAATACCTCTATGAAATCATATCAAAGGTTGTGAAAGAAATAATGATGGCATGGGTGCAACTTTTGGGGGTTTTGAATGGATTTATCATGTCTAAACAGAAATAGAGTTTAATGCTTTTTCATTTAATGGTTGAGCATTTTGGCATGGCTGCTGCTTTTTGAAGGTTCTGACTGCCTTTATCATGTGTAAAGAGAAATAGATTTTAATGCCTTTTAATTTTATGATTGAAGAGCAGTCCCTTTGTACAGATCCTTGGTGTACATGGGCTCATTTTGATATATTAATGAGAAGTTATACTTTACCTTTTTTTAAAAAAATTCCATTTGTCAAATACTTGTTATTAGTTTTGTTACTTGCAAAGTTTAGCCTTAGTGAAGCAGGTCTGTGATAAGTTTTCATGTTCATTATTGCATTTAGACTTATGAAAGCTGAGCTAAGTTTAGCCTTAGTGAAGCAGGTCTGTGATAAGTTTTCATGTTCATTATTTTTAATATTTTAAACTATTGTATCTCTACAATGGCTGAATTACAAGCAGTGATACAAAAAGTGAAACTAGCATTCCAAACACAATGATAAAGGTTGACTGTGGAGGGGGATTTGAAAACAGTTGAGTTAGCTCAGGGCACATGTAGAAGGATGATTCCCTGGGTGCCCAGATCAACAAATACTTTGGCTGATTCCCTGGCTCGTGAAGGAGTAAATAAGCAGAAATTAAGACGGGGAGAGTACCATCTGGGGTAAGTTGTAAGTGGTCTAGGGAGGGGCTCTTGATGGGGCAGGATAATGTTTATACTTGTATTTTGTTGCTTTTTCCCAGTTTCACTCCTTGTACCTTATACAATTCTTTTAATATGGATAAAAATTACTTCTACTGATAAAGAAGTATATATTTTAAACCTTTTTATGTAGTAAATCCATGAATACTTACACAACTTAGTGGAATAAACAACTAGTGCAATGAAATAGGCCAGAACAATGATAAAATAAGAATAAATGAATATCTGGAATATTACTATTGATCATCACACTTAGAGCACTGAACAGAACAGAATGGCAAAACGGGATTCATGTAACCAACCCCATATAGTTGGGAGTTGGGACAAGGCTTAATGATGATGAAGTCACACTGTAGGCAAAGAATCCTTTGGCAGCATATATGGAGCTTGTTAGGGGGGGGGGGTGGATGCTAGAATTTTTGGAAAAAGCCTTCAAGATAGGAGAATTTACAATAGTGGTGGCAATCCTAACCTAACCCATCTGCATAAAATCCATCCAAACTCAACCATTTGATATGTGGGTTGAATTTGGGTCAAATGGAAAGGGCTACCTGTTCATTAACTTCACTAGGTTTCAAGTTGGAAATGGTAATAAAATCAAAATTTGGACCAACCTTCAGTGGGGGGATAGAACTAGCTGATTCTTAGCTGGTGTCCGGTAAATCTGAAGTTTGAAGTTTGAAAAGAAAAAAAAAACTCCGAAAAAGCTCTAAAAGTAATCCATATAAAATTTGCTTTTCTGCTTTTGCAGATATCTGAATGTAGCTGAGTTATTTAGCAATCTGAATGCTCTGTTATTTGAAAAATGTACATTTTACAAATTTACCCTCAAATTGTTACTTAAATAACAATAACAAAATTATAAATTTTTTAATGTTATAAAAATTATAAAATGATAACAAGATTAAGTATTATGAAATAGTAAAATTAGAAAATTAAAAATAATAAATAAGATTAAGAATATTAATAAAAAGATTAAAATTATCAAACAAATATTAATTAAAAAATATTATAAATAATATTTGTTATTTTAAAATTATTTTAATATATTATTATAAAATAATATTTATAAAATGCAATACTATTAATATTATAAAAAATATAATTTAACAAACAAGAGGTTGTCTTCAACCTCTTGCACCACCACTAAACTGTGAAACTAGAGAGATTCACTCATAATGACGAAACTTGAGACAATCCTAAAGGTAACCGAGATGAAGAAGTTGATGACAATGGCAGGCTTCACTCTCCTCCATTCTCTCTCTCTCTCTGGTATTCTGGTTCTCTTTTTTCCTTTACTACCGCTGCAACTAAACCAGAAACAGAGCTGCATGCTGTCCCCTGTGCAAGAAGCTTCATCTAGGCCCTATTCAGTGTTCGTTCTTCAACCCAATCGGAAGCATCCCTATGCAAGATTTTCCATCCCCTTGTTACTGTTTCTTTTTGCTATTTGTTTTTTTTTTTTTATTTTTTCTTTTCATCCTTTTACTGTTTCAGTAAACTAGAAACAGAGTATCACCATCCCTTATGCAAGTTCGAACTAGTTGCAATAGGAAGATGATGAACAGTGTTGAATACCTTTTGGGTTTTCCAACTTTATTAAAGGGCATCAATGGAAAATAAATTTCGTCTGCTACCTCCAAACGCACTCGGAGGTAGCTCAACCTCTGAAATTTTCGGAGATGTTTTCAGACTTTAGATGCCATGTTTGGAGGTGCAACCGAATGATCACCGACCGCTGAAAAAGCAATATTTTCAGCGATTGAAGGTCTGTCCAGAGCTACYGAACACCACCTTAGGCCAATATTTTTTAGCTTATCCAAAACAAAAATACTTCCATCTCCTCTCTAAAGGAGACTTGCATCTTTCCCTCTTTTTGTGACCTCAAAATCTGGAAAATCCATCCTTTTGGTAAATTTTCTACTAACTCTTTCTTCAAGGCTCTAGTTTCAGACCTGCATGAGTTATGCAGGAGCTGAAGAATCAAATTTGGAATTTCCTGAAATTTTCTGTATTTCTATATATTTGGATAGTATAGGTATTTTTGTCATTTTGACAAGTCTCATGTGGGCTTGGGCTATAGTATCTTGTTCCTCTAACTTAGTAGTGCTCGTCATTCAATTTTCAGTTTATTTTCATTAGTAGGGAGAAGGTTATTGTCTTTCAATCTCTAACTTAGTAGTGTTTCATTGGTAGCCCAGAAATTGGAAGTGAAATTTTATGGTAAAAAAGAAGAGTAACTAGAAAATGCTTACAACCATGAATTTACACCTCAGAAGCTGAGGTGTTTTCCCCAACATTCAGGTGAGGTCACCTTTATTGGGCGGTAGAGATGAGGAGACCGCCATGGTTAGGCAGTAGAGATCCAAAGACCAGGAAAGGGGTTTCATTCAAAGAAGTGACCAAAACCAGAGTTTGGCCAACAGAAGGTGAGGTCAGGTTCTTCTGGAGTGATGAGTTGTTCTTCATTGAGACGTCGGAGAAGGGTGTAAACTTTTGAAAGAAATTCCTGGAGGGCTGCCTTGTTGGTAGGTTCGTGGCAGAGGTGCCTGATCTTGCAGTAGTGGAAAGGTGGGCTTATGAAGCTTGGGGTACTGTAGGGAAGGTGAAGGTTAAAAAACTTGTGAAGGGATTGTTTCTGTTCATTGTCCCCTTGGAGAAAGAAGCGGCGGCGCTTCTTAGTAGTGCGCCGTGGTACCTGGGGAGAACATGCTTCTCCTTGATAGATGGAGTGCCTGTGCGGGTTGTAGTTCCAACGAACCTTCTGGGAGAGGTAATCTCGATCAGAAGATCTAGGTCCGTATTTATGGACTCCCGTTGATCTTGTGGAGTCCAGAAGTCATCTCTGTGATCGGGGATTTCTATGGGGCCTAGCCACAGATGATTCCACAGAGGAGCTGGCGACCTGTGAATGGGTGAGATTGCAGGTGGCATGGAGGGGAGAGATTCCGACTTCGGTGGATGTTAGAGTGGGTGAAGTGGTGTATAATGTACACATCTGGTCAGAACTAGAACCTTTAGTTAGGCCGGTTACGAAGTTACAAAAATCGGTGAAGAACATTTCGAGGGATGAAGTGATTGAAAGCTATGCAGTAGAGACCTGGGGGTGGTTGAGAAGGGGTGAGGGTGGGTGTCATGTCGGCCGGACTTTCCACGGGTGACCCGGAGGGTCGAAGTCTGAGAGATTTGGAGAAGATGACAAGGGAACCGTTGATTGCAGTAAGTGGGAAGGAGAATTAGATGATGGAGAGGAGGGTAGCGTCTAACAGTGTGTCTGACTGCGGACAGGCGGCTCGGTTTCAAAATTTGAACAAGGCAAAGAAGAGTGCAAAGTTTGACCTTATGCCTGACAACGTTCAGGGGGCTCAGGCTCAAAGTCTGAACAAGTTGGAGAGAGGCTATTGGCCAAAAAGTAAAGAGGAGTTGAAAGATTTAATAGGGGAATGCTTGCTGGAGATGGGTCACGCGGGCGGAGAGGGTAGGGAAGAACGGGTCGGACAGAAGACCCAGAATTTCAATCACAAAAGGAGGTCTAAGGACCCGTTTGGTAGTAGGGGCTTGGACCATGGTCTAGGGGATAAGAGAGGGGAGGACCGGTGAAAAATTGGGACCTAGTTTTCTCTAGTTGCTGGGCTGGTTGGGGGAGATGGAGTCATGAACTCAGCTTTGAGTATGGAGGCCAGAACCGGAAGTTTCCAAATGTGTATAGAAGAGACCCAGGGGCGATCAAGATCTTCGAGGGAAGGAGGGGACAGGCGAAGAATCAAGGAGACCTTGCAGGGGAGGTAGTGGGAAAAGGGAAAGCAGTGATGGTGGAGGCAGAAGCTGAGTCATTTGACGAAGATGTGGATGGAACGATTGTTGATGACGCTCCTGAATTTAGAGGGAGCCCCCAGTAAAATTCAGAACGATCTAGAGAATAGTGAGGGCCTTCATGGGCAAGAAGTGTCTCCGCTTAGTATGGCCGTGGTGGAAACACAAGCTCGTTGGAGTGAGAGTGATGGAGAGGCAACATTGCTGGAGGGTGGGGAAATCTCGGARGGAGCACTTCTGTCGAGTTGGGTGTTATCCAAATACTTGAAATTTGGGGAGTTTCTTGGGGTCTCAATGGTGGGTCTCGAGAAACAGACGAAGGACTTCCTAATGGAAATTAAACATAGAATTTTACGGGATAGAGGTGTAATGAATGCCAAAGGTAAGAAGAATGCGAAAGGGAAAAAGGAGTTGTTACGTCTAACTTGGGGCCTGAATGATAAGGCAGGGTGTACAGAGGACGGTGGTAGAGGGAGGAGAAAAGGGAGGTAGGAAGTAGGGGAAAAGGGGGGGGGATAGGAATGTATTTGAGTAATGATGAAAATTTTGTCAAGGAACGTTCGTGGCTTGGGTTTGGGGAGGAGAAGGGTTGTCATCTGCTCCGTAATAAAGGCACACAAACCAGATATCATTCTACTTCAAGAGACAAAACTGAGTAGAATGGACGCATCAATGGTTAGAAGCGTGTGGGGGGATGGACAATGCAGGTGGGGATGTTTAAATGCTTCAGGAACAGCAGGGGGAATTCTAGTAGTATGGAATTCCAATACTGTCACGATCAATGACTCCATGGTTGGAAATTACTCGGTCTCCATTGAAGTTGTAGGGACGGGAGATTTCAAGGGGATAATTACTGGGGTGTATGGCCCAAATGATGATGCTGAAAGGCAGAACTTCTGGGAGGAGCTGGGCAGAATAAGGAGTAGTGGTAATATTCCCTGGTGTATAGGCGGAGATTTTAACATTATAGGATTCCCACAGGAGAAAAATAGAGGTGTGAGAAGGACTACGGGGATGCGGTCTTTTGGTGAGTTTGTTTACAGACATGGTCTGGTGGACTTGTCGTTGTCTGGTGCTAAGTTCACTTGGACTAATAATCAAGGCGATCCTACTTTAGTTCAGCTTGACAGATTCTTGGTGTCAACAGAGTGGGAGGAAAGTTTCCCTAACTTGTTTCAGGAAGCCCTACCAAGACCTGTGTCTGATCATAGGCCTATTCTTCCTAGGGGGGAGGGCATGAGGAGGAAGCCAGGTCCTTTTCGGTTTGAACACTTGTAGTTTCAGGAGGCTGGGTTTGAAGAGAAGTTGAAGGAGTGGTGATTATCTTTTGAGGTAAAAGGCTCAGGATCTCATATTCTTGCAAAGAAGCTACAGATGTTGAAAGAGAAAATCCTAGACTGGAAGAAAAACAATTTTAAGGCAGTAGAACTA